CTGACCCGCTTTCCGCATTATTTCTTGTGCTGTGAAGACGTCGTAAAAGAGGTAATAAAATGCCACACTTCGTCATATTTTTGTAAGTTGGAAAGTTTACAGCTGTTCTGTCGGGGTCGCACGAGTCGGAGGGGCTCCTCCACTCTCGGCCCGCGCGCCCCCGCTGCTATCAGAGGGCTTGGCCGGCCCGGACCTCGCGGGGAGGTAGGCAGGCGACGCGTGGCGTGGCGGCCCACACCGGGGCGGGGGCGCCGCGTCCTGAGTGCGTCGCGAGATCGGGTGACGCGCCGAGGACACACGTCGAGTGGCGCGTCGTGTCGGGGCGGGCGGGGCTGGGGCTGGGGCGCGCTCGGGGGCTGTAATCCCTGCAGATGGATGGGGGTTGGTCGGCCAGGCCGGGTGTTGTGACAACAGGTTTGGACGGTGCGGGGCACATTTTGTATGGCGCTGCAGCGGACGTGGGCGTCATGCATGTTGTTGTGGCGGGGCGGGGCGGGCAGGGGCGTCCAGGCCGGACAAGACATGCTACCGTACCCGCCGGACCGGTCCCGGCTCCGGCCCGGCCCCGGCCCCGGCCCCGGCCTCGCCTGCTCTGCTCCGAATTTGCATACGACTTGCTCAAAAACAGTCCGGTCCGCCATATTTGGGCGCGACGCGACTGACGGTGCCGGGGGCTGCATTGTAGGGCGGTGGCGGCGGTGTCGAGTTGCCGGCTCTAGCCGTCATTTTACTTATTGTGTGCTCTCACCGCGACACGCGCGGCGGATGGGTGTCGCCGTCCCGACGCCACCCTTCCCCTCGCCGACACTGAAAGGCTTTCTGAGGGGGAGGGGACGGGTCCCCGCGGAGGCTGCTGCGGGGCTCTTCGAGAGGCTCCTCGGAGGCCCGGCGTAGGCCGCTTGCAGGGCCCGCCATCCTGTCTGCTCCGGCCAGCAGAGGCTGGTCGGCTGCCTCGGGACGGCAGGGACAGCGGGGCCCTGCGCATTTTATGAAGTTGCCAAACGGGTACTTCTCGGAAACGCCACGCCGTGTTCGTCACTTTTATTATCATTTTTATTTTCTTCTCAATGGAGTAGGGGGAGGAGGACGATGTTCGGAAAGCCGTTTTCGCCATCAGGCATTGAAATGCAGCGGCAGCTGGTGAAGCTGGTGGTTTTGGTGAAGTCTGCTGGCGGGCCCCCAGTGTGCAGCGCGCCGTTCACCGGCTGCTGCTGCTGCTGCTGGGGTGGCGGGGCGAGGCGGTGTACATATACAGGTGGGCTGCCATGCGTCCAGTGCTGCCCGACGGAGCAAGCCGGGGCGCGCCCTGGCGGGGCGGGGTGGGGCGCGGCGGGGTTGGGTGTGTCCGCGGGACGAGGCACACCCTCGACGCCCTGCACGACTCATTTTCACTTCCGTTTTTCGTAAATCGTCGTCCGTGTGCATTATTACGCCCCGAGTGTACTGCCAAGAACAACACGACTCGTCTCCTTTGATCTGGTTCCTCCTCCTCCTCCTCCTCCCCTCTCTGTGCTGTTTCCCCCATGTCCCTCTTACTCCGCAGACCACTTGTAAATGTCCCTGAAAAAAAGTGTGTGTGTGTGTGATTTTATTTAGTGTTTCTAATATGTTGTTTTTCTGTCGCTTGTTTCAGAGACCGCCCTCCTCATCGCTATCGTACACAGGCCACCCAAACGATGATGTCCGGTCTCCAGGGTCAGTAGGGGGAACACCGGGCCCCCTGAGCCAACCTCCGGGCTCACAACAGAGCCTCGACCACGGCGACCCTGGTGAGTCTCGTTTCTATCGCTCACCGTTTGAAGTCTGACCTCGAACTAGTTTACTTTTGATAGAGTGGGACAGGATGTTCCAAAGAAAACTGTCGTATACGAATGATTACGTGATATATTCCCATCTAGTTCTCTAATTTAATGTTTTGTTTGTTTTAAATCATTTTCATTTTCACCTAACTAATATGCTCGAAATAAAATGTTAAAAAGAAACTTCAACCATGTTAACATATATATTTTTTGATAAGTACCTTTCCAATTTGTTGGCGTATGCTTAATCATTGCTTGGGCGGGCCAGCGAGGCCGGAAAGCGGGTCATCTCTTTGCGCTGACCCCGGTCGATAGTCTTGTGGTGAGTTAATTGCGCCTTTGGCGGCCTTTGGAGGAGCGCTCGCCGGTCTTGTTTGTTGGTCCAACTGGCGGGGCGTGACCCGCACCCTGGCAGATTTTCACCAATAGTCACGGGACAGAACAAAAACATGAAAACAAAACAAAATCCTTCCTCGACACATTCTGTCATATCTCAAAATTTCCGAAGCTTTTATCATTCCGTCGTGTGTCTTGAGTAAAACGTTCCAAGCGTTTACGAAATCGCGCCCGGCCTTATCGTGGCGCGGGGCACAAGTCCAATTCATTATCGGTGCGGGGAAGGGGTAGGGCGGAATATGCTTTATTGATTTTTCATCGGCGTCTCCCGACTTATTATGGCTCTCTCTGGATTGATTTTGTGATTTACGACTTTTCCCGACAATGTTGCACGCGTCGTGCGCGCGGGCCGCGCGAGGGAGGTGGGGCCTCTGTGACATTCCTCGTGCTCATAACGCCCGCCCGCCCAGACTGACCCGACGCGTCTGTCTCCTCCTCTGCTCGTTATTTTGAGAGGAGCTGGATCGCGCCGCCGGGGCCTCAGGACGCTGCAGGACGCTCGCAGGACGCGAGGAAAATAAATTGGGGGGCTGATCTGGCGCTGCCTCCCCCTCAGCTCAGCCGCCGGGCGCGGCAGGGCCCTGGCAGGGCCGGGGCAGCCAGCGCGACGACCAGACGCGACGCGCAAATGACTTGTGAAGTTGTCTTGTTTTCTCGAGACGTGCTGCTTATACTTCTCGCCGTAACAAGTCCACCACCTCGCACCTCCTCCACCTTCGTCGACCTTCGTGCTGTTGCTGCTACCACCACCGCTGCTGCTGCTGCTGCTGCTGCTGCTGCTGCTGCTGCTGCTGCTGCTGCTGCTGCTGCTGCTGCTGCTGCTGCTGCTACTGCCGCCGCCGCCGCCGCCACCGCCGCCACCGCCACGCTCCCGTAGTTCAGCGGACGCTTCATAGCTCGTTACCTTCTTTTGACACGTTTCAGTTGCGCGACGCCACCGTGCTCCTATTATCCTTGGGGTGGGGGGGGGACCGGACTGGGTAAAACTGCAGCAAAAGCACTTTCATCGCGGAAGAACGCGGGGGAGGGTTCCGTGCCGGCAGGGCGCTCGTAAAGATGCGGGGGTGGATGCGGCGCGGTGGGTCCGATATCGCTGTTCCGCCGCGGACTCGAGGTGTCTTCGGGCGCGAAACCTGGGCGCCGGCTTCAGAAGTACGTGTCCTGGTGGCGGGGCGGGGCGGGACGGACGGCCCCCAGCCAGTAGTACGTGTCCCGGAGCGAGGCGGGGTGGGGTGCGAAGACGCCTTATCTCCCATCGTAATTAGGCCCTGGAAGTTTGATGGTGTTGGCTAAGACGAGCTGGAAGGAGTAGTAGTTGGGGAGGCGGGCGTACGGGCGCGCGCGTGCGACACGGCCCGCCCCGCCCGCCTCGCCCGCCCCCGGCTTTTATTTTGGGCGCGCTTCGTCGCCCGCGATGTCTAGATACACCCCGCACCGCCACGCCCGCCCCGCCGCGACGCCGAAGTACAAACTGTCTTCTTGTAGTGCTATCGCCCGCGCCGATCGGAGATCACTTGATCCGCGCGGGGGGCTGAGCCTCCTGGCTGCTGCGGTCGCGCAACGACACCCGCCCGGGGGAGAGGAGGCGCCAGCGTGCGCCAGCGCCTAGCACACCGCCACGCCGTGCCACGCCCCGCACTCGATATGGATCCACTCCTGTAGGGTTTCGAAATGAGATTCATATTTTGCCGCGTCATCCACGACGGCGTGCGCGTCATATGTAATGTAAATGGACTGCGCCGTGCCGAGCCGCGCCCCGCTGCGGGGCCCGGCCCGGCCCGGCCCGGCCCGGCCCGGCCGGGTCGCGGACACGCCGACGGCGACATGCTCTGTTTGTTGTGATAGGTCGCGGGCAGGGGCGGCAGGCCGTGCAGGGGTCCTCGGCGCGACATCCACTTGGCTGACCATATTATGTTGACGCTCTCGATGGAGGCGAGGGGGGGAGCGCTCCCGCCTCGGGAGCCGCGAGGCCTCGAGTACCCGCCAAAGGGACGGCGTCGGGGAGGGGACGCGGCGGCCCGCGGGGGGCTGAGGCCGAGGCTGAGGCTGCCGACGAGGACCCTTGACAATCACTCGAGTCTATCGGTCCAGGGCCCGCGGCCTGCAGCCAAACTGCAGCCGGGCCGGGCCGCGGGCCCCTACTCCTCGGCGAGCGGTGAGGGCCATCGAGGCCCACGAGTGCGTGCGTGCCTTGGGATTGATGCGTCCCCGCCCCGCCTGCCGTGCCTCTCGCAGAGGGACACACCGAATACAGTCGGAGGACACACACTCTGAAACATTTCCCTGTCGGTGGCCGAAAGTGTTTGACTATTGTAGCGCTGGTGGCGTGGAGGGGTAGGGTGGCCAGACCCTGCAGACCAATGAATGCACGATGGCATTTTCGCTTTCCAATAATGCGCTGCTGCGCCGCTGGTGCCCGCTCTCATGGGGGTGAGATGGATGCATCAGTTTGGACCGTGACGGCGACAACCGGGAACTGGGCCGTGAGGGGGAGGGGAGGAGGAGAGAGGAGAGAGAGGAAGGGGCGCGGGGGAGAAGTCGGCCATATTCATAGGGCGGGGACCAGTCGCACCGGCGAGCCGCTGGCTAATGTACATACAATAAACACGTGGAACAGGATAATGCTTTCAATATGCTCCCCTTTTTTCCCGCTCCCTCTGGACCCGCTGGCCTGTCGCGGGAGTGCTTGGGCAGGGAGTGGTCTGCCTGCTGGTGCCGCTGCTGCTGCTCGCTCAGTCACATGTCAACCCCGCCAGCCGCGCCAACCCCGCCAGGTGACAAGGGGCGCAAGCTACAGGTAGCGCACCCGCCGAGCCCCGCCCCGCCACGGCTCGAAGTAACGACTCGGAAAGGAGTCTTCCCCTCGCCTCGCCCCTTAGATGTGACTTCCTGTCGAGGGAAATTGAGTTCCGCGCCTCTTTCATGTCGCAATATTTGTCGCGTGGTTGCGCAATGCGTGTAGGTGAGGTGTCAGGGCGTGGCGCTGCGGGGGGGCCCTTTGAACTCGCGCGCAGCGGGCCCCGCCGAGCTAAGTGCACACGAGCGTGCGTTTGAAAAACGTTTGGGAAAACGAAGAGCTCGGTCTGCGCAAGTATATCGGTCGTCTGTAGGGGTCGGCGAGGCGTGGCGTTTGGGGTGGATAGGGAGGGAAACGCGCAGTTCTTGCACCACCACCACCACCACCACCACCATGCAATTTTCGCGATCTTTGGGAAAGCTCGTTGCACCGATTGCCTTTGTTTACAGCGCGATTGCTTTGACAATGCGCGGTGCGAGTGCTGCTCGCATGGCAGCCGCCCCCCCGCCGCCGCCCAGCGCCACGCCGCCACGCCGCCACGCCGCCGCGCCATCAGCTGATCTGATGCGGGGGGGAAAACGGACAAAACGCTCGCCACCCTGTCACCTCTCTGACAATTAAGCATCTTTGTTGCCGCGGCCGCGCTGCGCTGCGCGGGACCGGGCGGCGCACAATGAGCGCCTAATCCCCAGGCCGGCCGGCGGCGCGCGGAATTAGGTTACCATTGAAATTCATTGGGATTTGCTTATCGCGGTTGCGCTGCGGCGCGGCGCTCCGGGTTGGTTGTGTTTGACGGGCTAATCGCAATTAAGTCGGTCGTGCTGCTCACTCGCAGCTGCCCCCGCGAGGTAGGCCATAGGGATTAGCCGCACGACTCAATCTCCGAACGTCGACGGCAATAATTACGAGGCGCACGGGGTACTTTGCAGGTGGCCGCGCGGGGTACTTTGCAGGAGGCCGCTGCTGGGTGCTATGGGTACTTTGCAGGTTGCTTCGGGGTACTTCGTGTGGGCGATCGTGTTGTCGTCGTAGAAACGCAAAGACAGTGACTAGGCTGTGAGTAGAGTGTTGCCATGGTGTTGCCTACGAGTCGCGTGACGGTTGAGATTGTGGAAAACGGACAGGGTTTCGTCCATTTTTTTTGCCGTGGAAGGATCGGTGTAAAAAGGGTGTTGCTGTGGGTGGGGGGGACTGGTTCGTCACCCGGGTGCAGCGTGGTGCAGCGCAACAAAGCTCGCTTGCTCTGTCTCTCTCTCTCTCTGTCGCGGGTCGCAGCGCCTATGCTGCGCGGGCTGGATGCATTGGTGCAGCGTTGCGCGGTGCGGGCCAACGCATAATGCGGGACACAGAGGCTGGCTGCCAGCCTCGCCTGCCCGGCGCGGTGCCTGCCTGCCTGCCTGCCGGGCTGTCCATACGGAGCGCATTGAGAGCTCGCGATGTGTGAAGTCTCGATGGGGGGTTTCAATAACACCTCTCTCCTTTTTTTTCGGCTCCGCGACCCGCATTTTGCCCGCCACTGCGCTTCTATATATTGCGCATAGGGAAGAAGGGAAAGAGAGGGTGCGAGAGAGAGAGAAAGGGAGAGTAACGAAGAGAGCAGCAACATGTGTCCAAACAATCGCGTGGGTCCTCGCGGCGTGCGTGACGTCATCGCTATCTCTGCTGGTGGAGCTGTAGGAGGAGCACAGCGACGTGGGGTGCAGCGGAGATAAGTCCGCCTGTCCGGTCAGCAACCTCCCCGCCCCGCCCCGCCCCGTTCCGCCGCGACGCGCCACGC